TTTTTAATTTATTTGTCACCAATAGAAAGCATCCACCTGCAAGAAAGCCTCTTTTACTGGCTGAGAGAGACAGTATTCCTTTCATTAGGAAATAAAAATTTTCTTGATTTGTGGCATTACCATTCGTGTCTGCAAATTATTTCTGGTACCAACCGCTATTACTTTTTGTCATCTACAAGAATATCATCTTAAGTATGCCCTAACCTAGTGTGGCCATACCGTACAGATTTTCTGATCCATGAATGTGTTTCATGTTAGAAATATTTATATTTACCAATAATCAGCACCCTGTGGAACCATGATTAGACTTTTTTTTAAGTTTTCATTTTTCTAAGTGTTGCTATAGATTGGGGAATGCTATACCTAAATTCCTGTATTTTGTTTAAACTTAACCCCAAGCCACCAGGGAACATGCTATGCCCACTGTGTGTTTAATTTGATAATTGTTTTTACATATAGATGTCTCCACAAGTACTAAGTCACCAATGAACCAATTATAAGTACTACCTATCTCACCTGTTTACCCTTCCTTACTTTTTGAACATATTCTCTGGTATATAATATTGCTGTTAGTAATAGCAGTGCCACTATAGTTATTATGAAGTTTATGATAAGAATAGCAGTATTAATATTGATAGTATTAGTAAAAAAGAAAAAAATATCCTTCAAACTCAAGGAAAGGTGAAATCAGGTGCAGTCACAAGGTGTACTGATTGACTCCTTTGTGGCAAAGCGCTCACAGAGCCCTCTGTGTGCAGAGAAATTTCACAAAACTATACTACAACAAACACAAAATTTTCCCAGAGGCATTGGATTCATATTCTTTAAGTTTCACACTCTATAATAAAAAGTGATAGCATAACTTATCTTTACTATGCTTTTTATAACTCCAAAGTTGTTTAACTGGAGTACCTATTTTGATACTGAGAGTATGTGTATATATACTTTGATTGTGTATTATTACCTATGTACTTATGCCTTATCTTCAGACAAAAAGGATTTTATCAGTGATACTCCTTATCAGGACTGTATAGATAGTGGTGTCACAGTAGTATTGCACCTCAGTTTTCAAAGACCTTTGCACAAATTTTAGATTATTAAAAAAATCTGGCTGTAACAAGTAAGTAAAAAAGATTAATGAAAAGTAAGAAAGAATGGCCAGTTTATGAAGAGCCCTCTGTTTTTAATCAAGATGATCCTTATAGTAGACCTCATTGGTTGTATCATGATGATGGAAATTCACTAAACGTTAATATAGAAGAGTGTAATTTGATAGGAAAGTATGTTGATATTCTTTTTTGCCTCTTTTTATATTAGCACAAATTATGGCTGAGCCTGTGGAGGATGATGTGAGTTACCTTGGATCACAAGAGGTAGCAGACTATATATCCCCCAATAAAGAGAACACCCCTGCCACACAGTACCAGAACACGAATTCTGATCCAAGAACACCAGACCTCAAAGCAACTGGGGCCTTCAGAACACCCTTGGTGTCTTCACAGGGTAAACAGGATAAGAAGACAGTTGGGTGAGTTGTGAACATGTATTTTTAAGAGGTGTATTTCATGCTATTTTCAATACCAGACTGGAAACTGTGGACCGTAATAACCATCCAAACTTATTATATATTTCTAATGGTTTTAAATCAATGCCCATGTCTTTTTTCTAAAGTGTTTTAATTTGGTTTAGGCAAAAAGACTTCAACTGAGTGTTTTTAGAAGCCACACAGCAAATTTTAACCCACTTACAACGGGTGTCCCACATATGAGACACCCAGAAATAAAAAATTGTTGGGCGTCCCGCCATTATCGGGGCTCGCGCTCTGACTCAGGCACGCGGGCAGTGTCTGGGCCAGCCCCGCACATTGATTTAGTAGCCGCCTGGAAACTTTTATTTTCGGCTTCAAAATGTACTAGCGGTAATGGGTTAAGATCCTTCACCAGCAGTTTGACAAGTTTCCAGTCTGATCACATCATTTGGATTGTAGGGGTTAACCCATTGGATCTGGTTGTGTCATGGAAATACAGGCAGTGGGTTACGTAAGTAGCCAATATCCCGGGCATGTGGCGCATAGGCTAGGTGCTCGTAAGCACCCATGTGCCTCTCCTTTGCAAAATTATTTAACATAAACTTTGTGAATTTTTTTTTGCCATTTTCCAATGTCCATATTTGTCTTTTGATTTGCTGTATCCAGGTGGTAATAGCTTATTTTCCTTGCACAGACTTCACATCATCTCTCCATGTAGTAAATAACTTATATATATGGAACATTTGGTTCTTTGTGTCACTTCATTTTCATTATTTTCAAATGATATGATATACCTGTATCTATCTGTCTATCTATATATTTGAATGTGTTTATAGATTTAAATTCTTCATTTAATGACTTAAAATCTTTATATGATCTTAATACCCAGTAAATATTAAATAGAAACAATGACATATGATCTTTGGGCATGAGTAGCTTACCATTGTACCTGGAGGTCATTTTATATGAAAATACTTGAAAAGACATTTGCCTTGCTTTTCATTTTCTGTCTTTAGTGTTTTGTCAACCATTGAAAAGTCACTATACAAAATATTTGCAGTAGACATTGAACCCTGAACTGTGTCTGTTAATCATATAAAGAGAGTGTAAAGAATCTCTTGACAGCCATCATTAACATACCCACAGAAATGCTGTCTGTTTTTCTTTTTTTTCCCTTCATAATATAGGTATAGTTCATTTTGTAGCCAGTAATACCATGCAGATTCCAGATGAATCCTTTTTAGAAAAAATTCAACATTATAATAGTTATCTTTATTTTCTATGTATTGTTCAGTTCAGTCCCAGTGGCATTATATGAAACATAATGTACTAACATTAATTAAGCTCTGAAATCCAATTTTCAGGCGTGTCTTACCCACCGGAGGTGCAGAACGAGTTTCTCCTTACAACTCAAGCAGTCCAGTCACAAGTCCACGTACCCCAGACAGGAACCCAAATTACAACATTGATGCCTCAGGCTCTACTTATGCATTACAGGTAAATTAATACCTTCTGTATTCTGACAAGTTTAACAATACAGAGTTTTTGTTCTAGCAGTCTTTACATTGAGGCTGAAGAATATATTTAACAGTGTTTAGTGTTAACATCTTTGCTTTCTGTGTGTATATAATATTTATGTATATGCATGGAGTATGGTGCATTATCATAATACATTTCCATTACATATTATCTCATTTTAAGACATTTGTAAAGAGACAAGTAATATGGGCTGGATTAATACTAAAACATGATTAACATTCATTGAAGGAAAAATGTAATTTTGCATATTTATTATTATTAATATTGTTATTATTATTATTGTTGGTGTTGTTGTTGGTGTTATGTTATTGTTACATTATTATTGTTATTATATTATTATTATCATTATTATTATTATTAATATCCCATTGCTGCTGGGAGAATATGTGGTTCACTTGGCCTCTGCTCCAGGTGGTATGCATGGCCAACTGGGCTTGCTTCCGGGGCCTTTTTCAGACTTGCTCAGTTTATAGCACTCGCCACACCACACGAACATAGTGATACAGTTATTTTTATATATTACTTGTATGCAAAACATAATTTTAACTTGTTTGCTCTGTTGGTTCAAAAAGTTTGTATTGCTCATGTGTGGGTCTTTTGCGACCGAGCGGTAATTTTGTTTTTGTTGTCCTGAATGTCTCTCATCTAATATAGTTTCAAGAGACAGAGGTGCTAAGATTGTCAAATATGAAATCATTCAAAGATATTTGGTGTCAAATGTTTGAGAAAGGAAGGAGAGGGCAAGGGGGGTCCTGAAGACAAAGAATGAACCAGGGAGGGGGGAAGTGTACCACCTATAGTCTGGTGGAGGGGTATGGGGTGAGATAAATGAATAGGGGAATATGGAGAACAGAGGAAGGACACCAGAGCGGGAAACTGTGATGTAGAATCTGCCATCGATAATTCCTCATTCTGGGTATTGGGTAGGGCATTTCTAGCTGATTTACATCATTGGTGGAAACAGGGATGTTGGGTGGAGCTACACAATCTCTAGGGTAGTATATGGAGTCTAAAAATAGATCCAGTACATAATGTGGGATTACTCAGCAATAGCTAAAATCAAATGGAATTATGACACCAATGTATGTTCTACTGGTGCTTCATGACGCCGGTGTCGGTGTCACTGTATAAAACGAGTTAATGTTTTTGCATGTTCAGAGATGTATGACATGCATTTTAGTAGCTAGATTGAACCTTTAGTAGTCTAATTATGTACAGGAGAGTCCAATAAATAAAGTATGTTACACTATCTACGAGATTTAATGTTTTTTTAGTGAAGGATAAAAAGTAAGTTAAAAAGTTACACATTTTTGCAATTCTTGTTTTCATGAAATACAAAATTGTATGGAGTAATATACTTGGCTGCTGCCCTCATAGCTTCAGTATGTCCCGTATTTGTGTCATACTGCAAGACGGTCACACTGGTAGAGCGCCAAAAGACAATGTGAGTAGTTGACATGAGGAGACAGATCTCGTGAAGAAGAGTGAAGGTTACTTATATCAGTAGCAAAGGAGTGTCATTTTTCGGTGTGTAGCATCTTCCACACATGGCAGGCAAATGATTTATATGCTAAAATTTGCCCTTTAAACAAATCTTAACATTGCACATCCCATCCTCCCTCAGGCAATGCCCCAGAGCATGTTTTGTGGGATGAATGTTCCTTATAAAGAACAGCATAAAATGCAATGCCCGCATTATTTTAATAGTGTGAATGAACCATTGCCTGGAGCTCTGTCCAAGTCGGCTGTGACATGAATTACACATCACCCAGAGCCATGACAATGTCAGCCATGATATGAACATTACATCATCTGTAGGCTGTGAGTTAATAGATTAGAGAGTGGGTCAAATTTGGAATCTTTCAGTAGATATGGATCTTTTTAGTTTGTGCTTCAAAGTAATTTTGTATCATTATAAAATATATTAAGTTGTATACAAATTAGAATGTTATTCTTTATATGCTGACAAATGTAAGTTTAACCTAGAAGAAGAAGGAATATAGCTATACATATGATTTATTATCTAGAACAGTGCTCTGGCTAAGTGCTATGATACAACTGAAAATATGTATTTAGTTTATTTTTGTCCTATAAGAAAAAGCCAAAGGCAAAGTTGATATGCAGTGAGAGAGCAAAAGAGGAAGGAACCAGAAGAACATAAGGGATATGTGTCTATTTGTGTTTTCCTGCTAGGGAGTTTTCTCTTACCTGTGTACCAGTGAAAGTTAGCTTGTCTATATTTAACCCATTGGGTCCAGATGCTTCACTATGTCCTACCTGACACTGCTGGGTGTGCACCTTGTAGGCCGGGTTCAAACAAACACTATTGTGCAATGATGAGTCTCCTCTACGCAATGTTATTTTGTCTTTTTTGGCATAGGCAATTTCAGCTTTTTTGCCGTTTTCCAATATCCATATTTGTCATTTGATATGCTTCATCCAGATGGTAATAGGCTGTTTTCCTTGCACCTATCGTCTCTCAAGGTAGACTATAACCCAGTGCAGTGATGATAATAAGTAATATTTTGTTATTTGTGTGTGTATGTTTTTTCCCCATATTATTCCATTTTTTTTTTAATACAGCCTGTGCTGCCAGGCATGGCAGGCAGGAATAGAATCCAGAGCATGGAAATATCATCCTCCCTGGAGCTAGTACTCTACCAGTTATGGCTTATGGACATTACATTACACACTTGTTTATTGATGGAAGTAATGCAAAAGACCCTTTTTAAATGCCAAATAAATGTAATCACTCTTCTAGAGGTTTTTGATGAGTCTTTCTTGTCACCCTGGCCTTCAGCTAAAATGCTCATGATAGCAAATTTGCACCACCCCAGTCCACAGCCAGATTTTCTCATGATGGCATGTTCTCGTCACCTGCCCCTTAAACTAATTTTTTCATGATATGATGTTCACATTATCCAGATCATAAGCATTAATACAAAAGCTTTAATCAGTTGCACTTATGAATCTTACTGTCTGACTCAAGTACACCAGGAAAATATGACAAAGTCTTCAAGATATCTGTCTTACTTGCAGTGTACAGTGCACGCTTGATAATTCACATTTTTTAAAATGTATTTTTATAGAGAACTTTGTTTGTCAATAAAGTCAAATGTTAATAGCTGTTTTATGATTTTTTTGTTTTTTTTTTGTTTTTGTTTCAGAAGTATAAATACCGTAAGATTGTTTTTATACCATGTTATGTACTGTAAAGTATGCTGGAATTGCTCCTGAGGTATTGCTAATATAGTGTAGATGATTGGGTAGAAAAAAAGGGTTATGCAGAATTACAGGACTTGTAAAACTATTTTTCTTGCTTTAGTGATATATTTTTTTTACTGTTTTGCAAATCATCTTGTTCAAGGCCCATATTTTGTCCACATAACCCTGGCTTTGTATTTTTGTCTTGAGTAACTGCATGCTGTCTGCCACTGCTAACTCACACCTTTGTGCCTCCCGCCGTGTGCTCTCCAGGTTGCTCTCAGAAACATGAAGGAGCGATACCACAAACTGCAGAAGAAAATGGCCCTTATAGAAGATGATAACCAAAGGCTTATTAGTGGCAAGTCTGAGCTTTTTGGCGAAATTGGAAAACTACAGGTATTTGAAAAACCTCTCATTGTTTGAGTTTGTATATTTGTCTAGCCTGTCCATTGGCTAGGGAAAAAACACCCTTGAGTATATTGTTCAGATAAGAGTACATATTGCTATGCATGCAGGAGGCCTGGACTCTCTTCATAAAAGGTTTTGACGACTTGAAGATTTAATATTATCTAAAAAATTGTATAGTTTGTCACATAATTTGCATAGGAATAGATGTATACCATTCAGAACAGCTTAAAGACTAAACTACATATACAGGCTTGGCTACTTAAATATTGGTATCAAGCAAATATGTAGCTTCTATAAATAACAGCATTGAGTATATTAATTTTAACTGATCTTCTTATCTATATCATATATCTAGTTTGATAAAAGTTTCTTGTACCTAAAAGTATTAGGTTTGAAAATAAGGTAATAGTGTTTTCATAAGATAATTTTCAGTTATTTATTTTAATTATCTCATCAGATCAGTGAATGCTGATATTGACAGAATATGCTTTATAAGACCTGCACTTGCAATTACTATTTAAATTTAGGAAGTTCATCTATGAAAGCCTGAAAAGGTCAATGATTATTGTTTATCAATTTATCAATGTTTCCTGATATTGATTAGAAGCTATGTCCATTTTCATTTGGTTTACAAAGAGAGATTTAAAAGCAACATGAAAAACATATAAGAGCAAAATTTTTAAAAAGAGAATTGCTAATTTAGATTGAACTAATAGTATTATGATTTTACGGTTGCCAATGATAAATCAGTTACAATTATTGTCTTTATCAATAGAGTTTTTTGTAGTATATTATGAAAGGTTTACTTCATTAAGGAG